GGAACAATGGGAGAATGATAAGCAAGCAGTGCCACCATTGATGAAATCGCATTTGAAATGAACCTTTCTCGTCTGGTATGCCTGCAGTGATAAGGTTCTTATCTTCGTCCGTTGAAGTCCATCTGTAATCATTTGGTACGTAAAGACTTGATGGATAAAGCTTCAGGCGTGATCAATCTCATCCAAAGGACTGTGTCCAGAATGCTTCCATTTGGGGAATCGAAGTGGCGTTATGAATGCGTGTGCGGCCTATACAAAGACTTGTGGAGGTCAGCAGATGTACAAGTCCGTATTTTTATCCTTCCGGACGAGTCTGATACCAATTAACCGTTCCCAGAAGATTGGTAGGCTTGGTTGTCTCAGGCGGAAATCAGTCCGGCATTCGAACACGTGACCATGCGTGTGTAATAGTGCGCTTGTTGCCACTACGCCACTCCGGTCGGTATGTAGACTGTATCACGTAGGGTACGTTTTTATTCTCACCTTCAAATGAATTTCTATGGGAAATCCAAATAGGGTAGATATGGGTGGATTCCTATGAGGAATCTAAATAGGGCAATTACTACGGAAGGGTGGTGTAGGGACAAGCGGAATACCACCACACCCATGGCCACAAGGACCAAAACCTTGATCGATGCTCGCCCAATCCAATCATGCCTTCTACCTCTTCGTGGTGAGATCGAATAGTTTGTACTAGATTCGCTGGGAGCTCAATGGCCAGGCCAGATAGCGGCTGTTCACCGTAAGCCATTGTATAGTTCACATACACATTCAGTACGCCACTGCGATTCTGAATGTAAGTTTGAGGAAGGGGACCCGGGAGGAGCGTATTAAAATGACCGACCTTGACTGAAGCCGAAATTTTATTACTCTGCCTTCATACAATACTAAATGGCCTTGTCCAGGAGGACAATCAAAAGGGTCCAAATAAAGACTGAATTCCTAGCAGAGGATGAAACAAAGACTGAACCATCAATGGAGGTTAAAGGCATTCTCTCAGGCGAGATAACCACGGAAAAATCTATCTTGGCTCTGAATAGAATTTCTGATGAGAGAAAGGAATACTAGTAAGAAACGAAATATGAATGGACAATCCTAAGCTCTCCAAACTCTGTTGCCTATTGCCCCTATGACCCTCTCAAGACCCTTTCACAGATCGAAGTTTCGATATTTGCAACTTGGGATTGATCCCCAAATCGTTTTCCTTTTTCCGATTTGCATTTTTGATTCCCTTTTGTCAACCCTAGGTAGCGGGTGAATGGTTGCTCCAATCCCATCTTCTGCTCCACGGCCACATTGACAAAAAATTTCTCGAGCATCTCGTGAATCATATATGGCTTTGGATTTCTGATCGGGAATTAAGTGGATTATTGTTATTAATGGGTTTATTTCATTTTGATTCACTATTTCCCTCACTTTACTCCTCTAGGACTTCTTACCTGAGCATTTCTTCTATTCACATCGTGTGGAAAGACTATTGTGTCCAGACATTCTTTGTGGAACTTGGTTTTCGAGCGAAAGCTTGTGTTCAAGAAATAAGAACCAGATTTTGAATCTATTTTTTTGTTTTTAAAGTTAACACCGGTTTTCTGAAGACAGCGTTCTGTCTGAGTTAACTAAACGCCCAAAGAAAACATAATTTTGAATGAAAAGTAGTTTTGTAACGTTTTTTTTTTTTGATAGAGCCAAATAGACTCTTCCTTCTTTTCAATCTTTGGATACTGTTTTGAGCTGTCGTGGCTAGTATTTTATTTATGGTCCTTATAATGGTTCGTCAAATTTCTATGTCTTTAGTAAAAATTTGTGAGTTCTTACTCATGGGTGATCTAACTCACGAATTTCGAACTTTTCAATCCATGTATAGATCTGGGCCAATGACAGCTTACACATAGTCCGCGTCAATCATATCGCCTGACGTTAATTTTCTTGTTATTCTCCTAGCTGGTTATTGATGAAAGCCTGTCACATTCAGCCGGTTCGTGTTTACTGCTTACTGCTGTTTACCTAGTCTCATGACTTTCTTCTGATGACTTTACGCATCCGAAAACGCATGTTTTTAGTTATGTGAACACCAAACCGTGGGAATACTGAACCGTACATCATTGATTAGATACATATTGATCGTTCAAATCAATAGCATTGTAACTGTCAGCTCTCATAAAGATTTTTAGTCAAACTCATCTGCGTTCTTTTCCGCCTTTCTATTCTTTCTTTTGTGAATGTGATGATTAATACTTAGTGAGACAAAAACGCATTCACCAATTTGATTGATAGATCCTATTTTCGGAAAGTAAACGGCAGTTTTTTATCATCAAATAATTTTATTTATAACGTGAATTCAACGCGCCTTCTCGATTCGCTTGAGCTAAAGGTGGAAGGAAATGAAATGAACCTGATAAATTTTTTCCCAGTAAGGCAACTTAGTGTTTTAGTTCTTTGTATATGGTAGCTCTGCAAACTGCCTTTGCTTCTGAATTGGAAAGCACGGCCAGGGTCGTTACCCATTCATATCCTGTTAGGGTTTTATGGGATGTAGCTTAGGTTATTTTCTGATTGTTGCTCTAATAATTTCGATCCCTCATGTTAACTGAATCTTTTTCGAGGTACATCAGTCGTTATTTTTGTCGACGTTCTCGCTAACTAATTACTGTTTCTAAAATAATTATGGTTGTGAACATGAGGCGATGTGAATTTTTTCAACCGCGAACTTTGCGAATATTTTGCATAGAAAATCGAATTAGCGTGAAAATTTAAAAAAAAATTATTTATTTTAATATTTTTACGAAATAATGGGCACTGAACCAAGAAAGCATACCTTGTTTCGAGGTAATGCAACAAAGACGTGGTGAGTCAACTAGCCAAGAACTACCGCAGACACTTTTGCAACGCGCTCCAGTTATTCAGGGGTCGTACCTTTTAAAAATAGTTTTTCAGAAACAGTTGAAAAATCCCATTGATGAGCGGTTGCATATAAGTATAGCATATGTAGCAGTTGAAATTGATGTCCTTATCTAAGATTATATTGATTACTGGAGTCCGTTCTTTTTGAAACTACTCCTGTGTTGTCGCCGGGTCCGTCGCTATTGTTAGGTATTGTCACGTTCTCATAATAAAACATCCCCCGCTGTGGCTCTTATTTTTCTTCCCGAAAACGTCCATCTAGCTCTTTCTCAAGGCTGTTTATTCAGAAATCAGAAAACCGCCTCTGAAGTCGATTCTGAAAACAATGGCGACTCATAATTGGACCGATAAATCCCATAGATGATCGCCACTAATCTTACCGTTAGAATTGACCCGTGACCTTTGTCGCAGTTGCAGTTTATTCGCCTTCAGCTCAAGGGGTTCAGTAGGGAAAACGAAAATCCTGCATACCCAAGAGTACCCAAAATCAATCGGAAGAAACCAAAAAAGGAAACCATGGTGGCTGCCTTGAAAAGCCAAGTGTTTCATATGGAGTTTCAAAGGTGACAGCAGTTATTCATCATTATTATCGCATTGTAACATTTTTTGTAACTCTACGTTTCGTTCTCACATCTATTCACATTCTTAATCATGTTTTAGAGTTTGTTTGACACCTTTCCATTACAAATGGCTAGCGAAGTCATTCATTTCATGGCACACTTTTTCTCATATTTTTCTCAGTCAATTACACAGCGGCGCTGGTTGGCTTAATACATTAAATATTAATCTTTCCGAGTTCCGAGACGTCATAGAATTTTGTCCGACGGGTAGATAGCCAATGAAGTGTCCTTAATTCCCTATATTTTTAAATTGGATTTATTTCATTTTTGGTTTCACAGTTTTTTCCTCACAGAGAAGATGAACTTATGAGTGTGCGATTTGTCGATTTGACTTCATGCTTTCTAAATCTTTGTGTTATACGTTATTCATTTTCGTAGCTGCAAAATAACGAAATGAAGATTTTTCCAATAAGTACGTTTTCATCCTTCTAAATGGTAACAATACATTTGCTCAGTTGGTTCACCTTGATAGCTTTTTTCTACTGCGTACTTCACGCCAATGCTCATTATTCTTTACCTACTATGCTTTTTGAAGTTATAATTTCAGATAAAAGATGAGTCTTATGAAGAAATGCTGTAATTGTCGTTCGGATTTGCCTGAGAGTAACGGTGCCGGGTATGTTCTTTTGTTTCTCAGTTCTGTTTTCTGGAGAAAAAGTTTGTCTTTTTCAGTTTGTCTGCCGTTGATAGTAATCGTATAGTATGAACTGAGTTTTGTGTTTTTTCCTCCCCAAATCTTCTCTTCCAACGTCACACGTTTACGCTTTTGATTGTCCTAAGGAGCTGTTTGGAATTCATTCTAGAATTTAACATTATACTTCATAAAAATATAGTTTTGCCGAATACTAAGCATGTTTGCATTGTAGTACCAAGCTCACTAAACATACCTAAGAACATTCAGGTGTCCTTAGTTCTCCGTTTATCAATTCAATACCTCCTCCTGTTCCTCCTCCGCAAATGATGCGTTTTTCATACAAATTTTGTTTACCCTTTTAAAATTGTTTTTCCTTTGTCGAAGAAGTCCTTGACCATTATAAGTTTTCCTCGCCTCATAAGTTCCTCTCCCGCGACTGATGCGTAAGGTCTAGAAATGAGGGGCTGAAAATAAATCCTTTACGTTTGTTGTTTTAGATTATACGGTTCGTTGAGAGCATTTCAACTGGAATAAGAGCTGAGTCGTTGGAGTGGAAGGGTCATGAAAGGCCATTTGTGTGCTTTGGGATCTTAATTCATTTCTGAATGAAGTGAGAAATATAATCCTTGATGTCAATAAGGACATCCCTGCTCTGTCGCTGTTGGAAACTCGTAGGATTTTTGTTCAAGTCTAGAGAAATTACGATTTGACCAAAGGTGCCTTCATCTACACAACAACGTGAAACGTCATTTCAATTCGAAAAAGCAAGAAGAGTCCTTTCGTGACGCAATCAGAGTCACTGTGCTCATGGCCACCGCAGAGAATTTTTCCTCTTATTTTCTTTTATGCTAGGCCGATATCACAATTTCTATTATAGGAGCTCAGTTCAGTGTGAAAAATGTCAAAGGAATGAAGCGAAGTACGGGAAGGTTAGTGTTTTCTTTGTTGCCAGATGTGAACGACTACTTATTTATATTTTCAACTGTTATTTCTACTAATAGTAATTCTCGAGCCATCAATTTTTCCTGACTTTTTTGTGAGGGCGTGAATTTGCTGAACCAACTGCTCCTACCTTTTTTGTAGAATATTGGTGATTTGCAGGATGTTTGGTCAAATTTTCAAGTAGTACAATCGGTACATTTAATCGGAGTCCCTCTTCTTGCCGGGGATTATACTCTCTATCTACCACATCTACTGCGGCCTCTGTGTTCATTCGAAGTTTTTGAAACATTACCTGGGTGGAGGAAGTAGTAAAGTGTTAAACATTTGAAAGTCATCCATCACCAAATGAGGCGCCGTACCGAGTTTTCTGCAGCATTTTTGCACCCCTCTGGTGCTTAAAATAGTGATGGGCGAGTGTTGATCCATGCTTTCGTCTAGTAGTTGTTATTTGTATTAGAGACAGTTTCTTTCTTTCTTCTTTCTATTTGTTTCTTTTGGAAGATGTGCACCACGTTTTTGAGTCCGAAAATACTTGTTGCAGCCGACAACATGCAAGTTCTGTCAGTTACCAGCTGCATTCCATGAGGAGAAGTGTGTTTATTGTTCTCATTCGGAGCGTAAATTTGGAGCACCCATACCATGTGCAAACTGTAAGCTACGTGCAGCGTTCACAAAGGACCCTAAAAAGGTATGTTAACAATTGCTCATCTAGCCACTCTGCCATTTTGATCCTCTGCATTTATGCAGAGTTCCAAAAGCGATAAAGTGGGTAGCGGAAACGTGCAAGTACGGTCACGAAATTAAATCTCATTTACATAAAAATTTTCTATTATAATCACTTATTAGTAGTCAAACGTACTGTGGCGTAGCGCTAAGCGAGTGTCGTTACTAACACGAGATTCTTGTAACTTTTCAGACCAAACCAACGTTATGCCGTATGTGTGTTATACAAGCACGCGCCAACAAACAAACAAGTTTAGCAGGTGTAGCTATATCATCTTCAGATGGCTCTGGACATAAACGAAAAAGAGAAGAAAAGAAGAAAGTGAGTCTACATTTCGGAGGAAATTCACCTTGACGAAATTAACGATTACTCGATAGCCCTAGTGAGTTACTAATTTTTTAATTGTAGGCAGAAAAGTCCCAAGCTGAGCCCGTCAAGGTGGCGAAACGTGATCCATTTGCTGATTCTGGTGAGAATGTGTTACTAGTCCAACAGCTTCGTGACCAAATTTCCAAGCTTCACTCAATCGTCGCCCAGAAAGATGCGGCTATGTTGGAGAAGGATAAGAAGGTATGTCACTGGACGTGCATTTTGTATTTGCTGTGATGATTTTCTTCATCATGCTCCCTAACAGTTAGGAAATGGAGCATTTGCGAATCTTCTTTCCAATTTGTACTTCGCGCCGTGAAGCTTTCCCGATGTGCTTGCCTTTCTTCGAGGCAGCGTTTTGGTCCGCGATTCGGAGTGGTCGCTACTTCCCCTTCTTTTACAGTCGCATCCGCCACTGCCGCGTCGCATGAGCTACGCGCTGTGGTGGCCGGTAGCGCTTTTCTGCACCTTCGTCCCAGATTCGAAGATTCGAAATTTTTGAGGAAGTTTTGAGGAATCTCTATCCTACCCTTTTCTTCAGCGGCAGTTTACCTTTTTCATTTGAACTGCCTAATGTGCGATAGGATATCGGAAAGCCTCTGTAGGTGTTACATGTAAAGAGGGCCAGTGGATTGTGCCATTTAACCGATCGTGGTTCCAATGGGGTAAAAGCGACTGGTTTTGAGTGTATGAGTAGTGAGTTTCAACGCTGCCTCATGCTTGATAATTTGGTTCAGATAGCAACCCTGCAGGCAGATTTGATGAGCGCAGAAAGAAAGCACCGAGAAAAGGTGGAGCAGCTTCTGAAGGACAAGGACGATGCAATACAGAGATTGACAGAACGACATCGTCAAGCATCTTTGGCAGCGAAAACTGTGAGACCTCGTTGATCCATTTGAAAGTCCCTATTTTTTGAAATGTTTTCTTCACCTTCAATTTCAATTAAACAATAAGCTGTTTTATTTACAGGCAAAGAAATGATTTTATGTCGCCTTCTGAATTTTTGAATGATATTGTCGATACAGGTACGAGAATAATCTTTATGAATCGCTCATTATTTGACTTTCAAAGAGTTCTCATTGTGATTATTAGATTTAGAAGTGAATAGTTTATGAGCATTTTTGTTATTCCATATATATCGCATTTGCATTGATTCAATAAGCATTAGATCTGTTGTATTTATGTCTCAGTACTTTTTTTCGTAAGAAAGATAGATTGCAGCTGTTCTCGCATCTGCTTTTGTTGGAATTTCTCTCCAATTCCAATTCTTAAATTTTCGATAAGATTTGTATTTTTTGTTTTACTTTTTGCAACATTCTCATTTCTGGCCAGATCACCTCATTGTTGATCAGATTACGGCCGATAAATGTGGCGTTAAGTCTGAGAGTAGGTTTTTGAAAGTCTTCTATTGTAAACAAAGTTTCCTTCCTTTTCGAGCTCATTAGAGTTATTCATTTTGTGGACGATAGAACATAAGTTGTCCCGCAAATTATTGATTTGCCTTAGGAATACTATGCAGTTGTAAAGAATTCGGATCGTTGCTACAGTTATCCTCGCTGTTTGTTTGTTTTTGCATGAGTCTCGCCTTCTCTAAACCCGTAGCATATCGTCGTGCCTAATCCATTCTGGGTTACTTCACTTGGATGGTTTCTCTTGAGTACTTCTACGCTGTTGGAAGCCATTTTCATGCCTTTCCTTTTCCCCATCCCCACTTTTACCCCAATCACGACGATCCCTACTTTGGGTTATATGGCAGCATATGTTCATTGGATCTTGTGTTTTCCCTCTGTTCTCCTTTACATGCCGACCTCCCTTCTGGGTCGGAATACAAATTATGTTGATGTGCAAGAATTGTTTGGTTAGTTTGAGTTATTTGTAATCCATGGTTGTGTATTTTTCGTTGAATAAATTTGAATTCTTCGAATCGAGTTGTTGTTGTGTTGTTGGCATTGTTTATTTTTTGTGAGTTTAGCATGCTTAGCGTACTTATTATCAGGGTATCATCTTTCTTCTCTCCGGTCCACAGTAAACATCTTTCTTCTCTCCGGTCCACAGTAAACGAATCGGTTTGAAGGAATGCCATTCATGTAGACTCATGGCGGACCTTAACGTTCTCGCATGACAACAATATCTTCGAGCATGTCCCAAATACATACTCCTTTGTAATGAATCAATGAGTCAAGCATGGACGCAGTCTTGATTTACCTGATTTTTCCATACCTTTAACAAAAGGAAATAGAAGAGTTTTCTGCCGAAGTAAGATCATTTGGAGCGGAGATTGCGGGTAAGGCACTGGCCTTACTACCGACTTTGTACAAATCATTAAATGTGTATTTTGCAATGAAAGGTCCATGTTATACTCACTTCAAGCTGACAATGAGCTCATCGAGGAGACTTGTGCAATGGGCGACTGGCACCATATTGCTTGCATCATAGCCGACTGACTGAGTGCCCACCGACTATTGTACAAGTCACAGCACCGTAAGGATGATTTTCTTTTCCAGTCCTTTACTGCACATTAAGAATAGGCAGTGTTAGGAATTTATCACTGTGTCCTACTCTTCACAGATATCCCCTAATTGGGCAGCGGGAACTAGAGTTCGCCAGCAGAGACACGCATGTCCTGAGCCCCGTCAGCTTACTCATTGCGGGAGCTGGGTCGTCAAGCACGGAGGGTTGAGTGCAGCCTTTGCTTGTGATAAAGTTGAACGTCGAGAAATAAATTGGAAAGGCGTAAGAGCAAATGATTTGCACTAGTTCGCGTTATCTTCATTTCAAGCTGACTGCCGTTGACCGAGCGCAATTCGTATGCCCCGCCAACAAGTGCGACGTCTGTCAAAGATCGCGGGCTTACACGCCGTGTGCGACGGCTTGGCGTGACCTAGTTTTGACAGACGCGCGGAACAAAACGCACCCCGTCCTGATGTTCGTTTGAG